GACAATATTTTTTAAGTAATCAAAATGGATGATTTTTAATAACCAAAGTAGTAGTTATCTACCTGATAACTGAAGGTTTTTGAAGTTATATTAGTAGTTATATGACCTAAAGAACATCTTATTGTGAGAAATGTATTTTCTATACTTTTTTTGACTAACATTGGTACTAAAACAACTAAAAAATGTCAGTCAGTTGTCCCTGACTTGAACATTATCAACTAGATAGAATTTGATCATTGGCCATTTTCTTCACCACTCTTTTCTCTTCCCATTAGCTGTGATGGCATTTCTCTTTGACCTGAAGGCACTCGTGGACATGATGTCCATTGGCACTCTCCTGGCCTACTCTCTGGTCGCAGCCTGCGTTCTCATTCTCAGGTGAGTTGTCCTCATTGCCAGATGATTCTGAAGGATATGTGTCTCACGTGGGGCTCAGGGGATGAAGAAAATTAGAACTCACCATCCTTACTTTTAAGAAGTTAACAGTCTCACAGAGGCAAGAGGTGATGGACATAGAAACATCAATATGAAGTGTAATAACCATACTTGGTCCTTAACAAAGAATTAAATAGAGTTGATAGTGAAAGGTTGTCGAAATCTCTGTGAATGGCAGGCTATCGTAATGTATAAAGACACTTAAAAATATTATACTTTTTGTCCTGGTAATTTAACTGCTGAGATTTTATACTAAAGATTTACTCAAAGAGGCACACACAGATATATATAAAGGATGTTCATGGAAAAGATAATTTACTTTAGTGAAAAATTGAGCTAACCTGAATATCAGTAAGAGAATGGTTAAATAAATGAGGATATATTTATTCACTGAACTCTTCTACAACAAATAAAATATTTAATTATTTGGAGAAATATATCAGTTTCAGGATGCAAAGCTATATGTAGCATCTGAATTTATTTAAATAATAACATACATTTACATGAAGAAATCATTTTTGTATACACACACACACACACACACACACACACACACACACACACACAAGCATTTCTGACCAGCTGAAATGGTACCAAAATACTATCGGTAGTTAACACTGCACTAGTTTGAATTTTTTTCTGTNTTCACAACTAAGTCATGTATAGAATGGTGCAGCCGGTAAACACACAAGTAATTTAAAACATCTAAATTTTTCTAAACTTTTAATCATGGCTACATCTATGTACTAATCTTACAGTGAGTTGATTTTTTTTTTTAACCTTTCTCTATCTTGATTATCTTATGATGCTGGGAATTACTGCTAATTTGATCAAAGATCAGGCTACATGGGGAAAAATAATGGTAAAATAAATATAAAAACGTAATTAAATAAATGGACTATTCTATGAAGTCAAATTACCTAATCTCTTCTGTAATTACATATCAGTTTAAGAGTTTTATTTTCTGAATTATTGCCATTAATTATGTCTTAAAGATATGATTGCTTTGGGTTGATTATTGAGTCTTAACTACTTAGTTTTAATTCAGTAATAATCATGGGCATGCCCAAATCGCTTGCATTGTTATTTTCAGTCTGATAATTGTTCTGGGCAAATATCTGCCACAGAATAATAAGTAGCACAGTGGTCAATATTGGCAGATATTTTTAAATGGCCAATCATAATGCACTTAAAAAATGACAAGACTTTATAATCACAGCCATGATGCTGAATGTTGTACAGTTACTTAATTTCAGTTCTGTGATGTAATCTTGCATGAATGTCTTTGCCATTTGCCATACTGCATGTGTTTGCTTTTTATTCAGTCTTCTTGGATGCATTTTCCCAATGCCTCGTGTAATCTATGCTATGGCCGAGGATGGGTTGCTTTTCAAATGTCTAGGTCAAATCAATTCCAAAACGAAGACACCAATAATTGCTACTTTATCATCGGGTGCGGTGGCAGGTGAGAGAGTTTACTTTTATTAAGAAAATTGGGGATCTTTTCTCATCAAGGAGTCTGAAAGAAAATATGGAAAAGTTAGGTGGTTTTCTGTTTGGATTTGCATTGACGGTCAATAACTTTTTTGGTGAATGTTTCCTATTTTGAATTGTTTGGGGCATAGGTTC